GATTTTCCCCCGGAAAATTGAATCTGATATGGAATTTCCTTGGGGGAAATCCTACTCTTGAGCATATGTGAGGGGAGGGACCTACTCTAACAAAAACCAGTAACATCACTACTTTCCGAGTTCCGCTCCTCAAGTACCTTTCTAAAATACTAAGTGAATAAACATCGGGCTCGAAAGATCGAAGTTCCCTGCTCCAGGGTACAAGCTTTAAACTCTAAGCCTGTGAGGAAGAGGAATTGGCATCTTTTCATAACAGTTCGTATGCAAAACAATAAGTCAATAAATATCGGACTCGGAAAAATCAGTTCCCTGGCCTTAGGATCTGAAATTTTCAATATTGGGTACTAGTGCACAACTGCCAGCATTGTGGAAAAACGGTGATTATACTATTTCTAGTTTTTAAAACCAGCGCCTCATTTTTTTTTATCTAAGGAACAATATGAAACCAATTAACATCGGGCTCAAAAACATCAAAGACATTTACAATGGAGGCAATCGTAATTTCTCGAGCCTTTCCGGCAAGCTCGGAAGAAAACCTCGAATGTATTTTCATCACCGGATGTTAATTTTTTTTTATACAAAATGGAGTCGCTTCCTTATATGGAACAATTAACATCGGGCTCGAAAACATCGAAGACTTTTACAATGAAGGCAATCGTATCTTCTCGAGCCTTTCCGGCAATCTCGGAAGAAAACCTCAAATGTATTTACATCAACGGATGTTAAAATTTTATATAAAATGGAGTCGCTTCCTATCAAAGTATTGACTAAATAGAGTTGATTGGTAACCTCTGAGGTATAACGTAGTTAATATCGTTGCGTTCAATGAAGTTTTCTCCTAGATTCTACAGATAAGACTTAGGTGACTTTGTAGCACATTCGAAGTTGTTTTTGCCGGAAAGGCTTGCATAGAGGTGGCTGCAGGAGTGTAGCTCTCTGGTTGAGAAAATTCGGACAGATAAACCAATCTGTCAATTTTCTCAACCAGAGAGCTACAGTTCTGCAGCTAGCATAGAGGTAAAATTTTATGATTCTAACGGTCAACAATCAATACTTAATTATATTTTTAATGATGCCAGAGCAGGCAACAGATGTATTCCTTAGAACACTCTAGTTATTCTAGTGCACTTCTTTTACGAAAGCTTGAAAATTATTAATAATGGCATTGCAGGATCGACCGGGATGTGTGTGTTGGAACTTCTCTTTTCACATATCATGCTATACATAATTTATTTTTTTTAATATGTTTATTGAATTAGGATTTTAATAATTATATAGTATTGAATGATATATATGGAGATAACGAACAGTATTCAAGCTCAGAAATCCATTAAACAATACAAATTTTGGAGCAGAGCGAACACGAATAAAACGTTTTGATTTTTCCTATATATTGGAAATGATATACTACGGTTCCTAAAACCCCTCCCCCTTTTCTCGAAATTGCTGGATCTGCCTTTTCACAGAATGGTATCTGACACCTAGTACCTTGTACAAAATTACTAACTCCGGGACAGGGGATGTCGATGTTTCCAAGCCCGATATTTATTCATAGTAGGCAATAGTAGGGTTAATAACTTCAGAGACGGATCTCCGAGACTAAAGATGGTACCATCACAATTTTTTCTGACCACTACTTATAGTACCCCTCCCTGAAAATTTCAGACGCCAAGACATGCGACTTTGATTTTCCCTAGCCCGATGTTTATTCACTTTATTAGTATTATATAAAGGTATAAAAACTTCAGGACCGGATTTCGGAAACTTATCTAGATGGTTCCATCACCATTTTTCTTCAAAGAACTGGTACATGTAGCTGACCACAAGAACCCTACCTGAATATTTCAGACCCTGGGTCACATGTTGAAATTTTGATTTGTGTTCTTATATGCAGTTCACTTTTCACAAAGGAGATGGGCGAACATAGCGTGCAGAGAGCCTATAGCTTCAGATATATAAAAATCAGATTCATTTTGTGAATTCAGTATTTATAGATTGAAATTTATGAAATTATGATAAACAAAACTTTTCTGAGGAAATTTTTCTCGGCAAAATTTATTCTTTTATTTAAAAGATAATGTGGTATTCGTGGGGTTCGAACCCTAGCAATAAAAATCCTGAGTATCATTTTCTTTCGAGACTAGCACGCTAACCACTAGACTACACAAATCCTGATGAATAATGGCATTTAAATCAAGTTTGTGATATGACCCTTGGCTTAATGGACTTCAAGTATTTTTCGAAAAGATGCAAATGATATGTCAATAAAGTATATTTTTATGGTATAGTGGGTCTTTGCTCCATATTTTTGGAAACCAAAAAATGTATATTTTTATGCAAACTTCGAGGATTAAATTTCAAAAATATGGAGCGAAGACCAACTCATATCGAAAAATAGTGTTATAGTATGAGAAAATGACTCTTTTTGCCCTCTTTAGTGTGTGTACAATATTTCGTAAGCAAATAAATTCAATCTTTGTGGGATTTTTGCATATTGTAGAGATTTTACATACAGTATATTTTAATGTTAGATGAAATATCAAGGATGATATAATTGAGATTTAATTTTTCACCTCCATGTTTATCACACTATAGACTTTTCGCTCGTCATGTTTACCCATCTTCTTTTACCAAAATTAGTAACATGAAAACTTACGACTTTTCAGCTCTGTATACAACCATTCCCCACTGAATTGCAAATTGTGGACTTCTGCAGTCAAAAATCCGATCGCAGAACGATAACTCTTATATTGGAGATTTTTTTGTTTTCTGTTTTTCTGACTATCTACGTTAGTCTTTTTTTTTACAGGAACTAGATGAAATCCCGCGCAAGCGCGGGGAATTGAATCTATACCACTACCGACAGAAAAAAATCCAATAATATATATATTGTAGTTTCTACTGACAGCCTACAGGCTTATAGCAGGAAGAAATATACTTTGTTAAAAATCCCGCATGAAGTAGAAGTACGTCTCCACCCCCATCCCACCCCCTTTGTAAAACTTAAATAACAATTTCATTAATTGACGTTTATTGTGAAACCTGTTATATACTATGTTATGGATACTGTATATACTGTGTTTTGGATATTGCACTTCAGATACTCTTATTTTATTTCCGTGAAATGCACATTTTACTGAAAAATTGATTTTGGGGGGGGGGGGGGGGTAAAAATTCACAGGTACTTGGGTCCTAGTTTATAGATATGTATGTACCTTATTGATATGTAAAAACTGTATCTTACCTCTTTTTTTTTTACATATCAATAAGGTACATAGTTACATATTTATAATCCAAGACCCAAGTACCTGTGTAAAAATTACTTTTACATGTAACGCCCTATGAATACACTGGCGGATTTAGAGGGGGGCAGCCCCCCTACCGTTTTGTTTCCAAAATATATATAAAATTTAATAAATCAATTTTTTTGTGTGTGTGTCCGTTTGCCCCTACCCGACCCCAAACTGGTCGCCCCCGCCCCCCTTTTCAAAATTCCTGGATCCGCCACTGGAATATGCCGACTATTTGATACAAAAGACTGTATTCAGAAAAAAAAATGAAATGTATTGATTAAAGCTCAAAATTTTACAGCATAATTGTATTTGAACAATGCCTTATTCATTAATTTTTTCTTCATGTAAGCAGGTTTATTACGAAGTCCAAATTGTACTTCGGGTTCGTTGTCACGATGCTCTCAGTGAGGAATATAAATTTTACCGATAAATTTATTAGGAAAACCTACTAAATATATGTAATTGTCTTTCGATATATAAATATATTCACAACTTACAGTGTTATCAATGATTTACCATTATTTCAATGACCATTCACACAAAAGCTTTTTTATGTTAAAGCAGCTATTTTCTTTTTAACATCGGGCTCGATGCTATATGATGTTCTAGAAGCTTCCGTCAATATTACGATCGGTGAATGACGAAAATAATTTGCACATTTTCCTTTTTAGTCGGTTATCACAACTTATTTCTTTTATATCAATGAAATCAAGTTTTGATTGAATAACTCAGTAATGACGTTTAATGAAATAAATAAACGATTGCTTGTTGCCAGTTTCATTAAAAATTGCCAGTAACTTAGATCCGCCAACCGGAAACGCCACCGTACTCACGTTTTTGCTATTTCATGGCTGTTTATAGAAAATAAAAGTAGACTTTTAATGTACGATACTTACAATGCAATTGAAATCTAATTATAGTTTACGGACATCGTCTTGTATCATGTGTATTCTTAGAGGAGTAAGTAAGAACTCTGATACACCCGTATCGGAGTTTATTTGCAAAATTTATTAATTTATAAGTATAGATACGCAAGCTCGATCAGGGTAATGCATTCTGGAAAAAAGATACCATGCATGTATTAGTTTCGTATACATTACATCTAAAAATATATACCAGTATTATCTGAATTTCATGATTTGTCGTCTAATCTTCACAAGACCCCAAGATCCTTAAATTGCAGTTATTTCTAAAAAAATTTTTTTAAAAGATTCTCATTGGTTCTTAAAATAATTGTATTTCCATCTAAATATTGAAGTATCGGTGAACAAGAGAATGCTTTATGCATAGTGATGCTATTACCGGGCTGACACCCACTCGAGTTTTTAAATTTTTCATTCTGATCTGAGACCTATCTTTTTTAAAAGAAACTTTATTTTATATATCATAGATTTTGTCATTTTACAATAAGTGCTCTGAATTTTGTTTTGTGCCAGATGTGTCGCCCACATATACCACCATCCCCCTCTTCGTCTTCCACCACCGACTTCTCGTTCCTGCTTGCAATATGATTAAAGGGTATGCGCTACTCCAGTGGAATGCCCCCTCTTAAAAATGCATTACATGTTCGTGGTGGTTGAAAGAAGCGCAGCTGAAATAAGACTATAATGCGGTTTTCTACATGTAATTTATGCCATTTACTTTATTTTGATATCTTTGACAGAAAGTTATTCAAGTATCTTTTGCCGAGAATAGGAACGCTTCCACCGTGTTTTGTTGTTGTTTCCTCTGTATTTAGAGAGAAAGGAAGTGTCGGGTTATACGACGAGAAAGACGTCGCATGCACGGGTTCTGAATGACGTGTTGTAGTAGTAATTGTGGAAGATGACGAAGTAGATGAAGTTGTAGGGAATCCATCACAGGTTTCAGAAATTTCACAAATATCGTACTCGAATAGCCTATCTCTATGGAAAAAAAATATGATTACAGTATGTACCGTCACAAACCCTCTCTTTATTCATATATCTGTCATGATAAGCAGGCGACAGACATGTTTCTTTAGAACACAGTTGGCTTTTCGAAAAGCTTTACATGGCTTTTATTAAACAGACACGTGTCTGCTGTTTATACTGTATTCAGTCTTATAAGATGTCGAAATTGTGAAATTGATTTTAAATTAGTAAAGACACTGTTTAAAATGAATTTACTTTGTACATCACCGTACATTGTATATTAATATTGCATAGTATAGTTACGTTATGTCTTCCTAAAAAAATTTGCAGTGACCTTTGCAAGTAAGTGGATCAAACTGTATAAATAATTGTACTTACTCGGTGTAGTTGTCGTGTATGCTGATCCAGCCTCTCATGACATAACCAGTGGGGACGGAGTAGGTCGCTGGACGATCGTACCTGTTGGTCCAGCCCGTATACTTACAGTTGTAAACACACATACCTAAACACAGTAAATTAACATAACAGAAGGATCCTTTAAATTGCCAGGATGAAAATTAAGCAAAATGTGGTAGTTACCATTCTCACAATGTCAAGGTTTTGTGATTTCGGAACTCCACACAAACCCTTGACATAAGTCGTTATTTAAAAGTTGGGCTTGTGGTTACACATGACGTAATGGGTAATTATAAACTAATCAATGAGAATATATTTTTCAAATCCGTCGTTTTTAAATTGCCCAACTCCAGAGCATATCTTTGTGATTGTAAGGGGGACGATCTTCAAAAAATTAATCCCCGATGTTTTATTAAAAGTAACTAGTCATAAATCCTACAATATTTACACTTTCCATTTTAAAGACGAGTCATATTTGTTTACAAAACTTACCTACAATAAAAGCTGTTTTCTGATTGGTTCCAGTCCTAGACTAGGAACAAATGAAATAGTAGCTTTCTAGCCCAACTTTTAAATAACGACTTATGTCAAGGGTTTGTGTAAAATTCCGAAATCACAAAACCTTGACATTGTGATGATGGGTAGTTACTTGGAAATTGTAATAAAATCGGTTTCTTCCTTGTTTCAGATTCGCATAATAGATCGTTTAGAAAAGAAAAAGAGCTCTGCTAGAAATTACAGTACGTCAGTTTTTAAAACCAATAATTATGAAACATGGGGTACTTAGATCTTAGAGAGAACGATTTTAATTCGACACATTATATATAATAATAAAGGAATACTTTACCGGGTTTCTGGCAGCAGTAAAATCTGAAACGTCTGTCTTCGAACAGGTTAATATGGTAACTAGACACTCCGTCAATGACTCCGCCGTTAGGACATTGGTAAACCAGGAGTTTGTCAAACTCGTTGACATATTCTGAACAATACAAAACATTTACAGTAAGGTGTATAGCGAAAATAGAAATTGTAATTTTTCACTCGACTCTAAATTGTATCAGAATTTATGATGGCCAGCAAAAAATTATCTTATATTTACTTTATACTTATTCTTTATACCTTAATAAAAAGCGCATGGCAACTTTTTATCTATGACTTTCAGTTGATGCACCGACAATGTTATCAAAAGCAGACCCCGAGCTGCTGTCATAGATCGCAACACAAGGATCTGAAGAAACCTCGATTAATGGTCTCTAAGTAGAGACTTAGTTAATATCCCTACGCTCCTTATATGACTCGGCACCAAGGTACATGTATCTTGTCGAGAACCCCTAGAATGCTGGAGTAGGGTCTTCTTCTAGTGATCTTTGAATCATCCAATCAAACGTCTCTCAATAAAATCGAAAATAGAAGTCCTGGTGATGTATGAACGGGAACTCTGAAGCCTCTTGGCAGAACGGCCACATTGCCTTTTCTTTGCAGCAATACAAGAATATTGGCACTTGCAATTTTTTTAAAACTCTTGAATTTGTAGCTTGGGCCTCTGATCATTTACACTATATGCGGGCTCCGGACTGTAGCTTGAGACGATGCCCTTAATTGGGTTTCTTCAGATCCTTGTAGCGATCTTGAAGCGATCTGCATAAATGGATCAAAGGACCTTTTTTTAATTCAGATTGATGCACTGAATTACATAAAGAAAGAAATGATGTTATCTCACCTGACCATTCGCAATTTTCTGAGGAATTGGTATAGGATGTGCACATGAAATCAAACCTCCGGTCCTCTTGATAATTGCTATGATAACTCTTCACCTGTGTGATAGACTGGTGATCCGGGCACTTGAATGTAAACTCCTGGTCAAACTCGTTAACCCAACCGGAAGTTAGTCGGTGCATATAAAATAGCATCAAAGCAACAAAGAAAGAGCGCATGGTCTGTAGGGAATGTCATTTATAAATATTATTTACGTACGTGGCAGTACGCTAATGAGCTTCTTAGCATCTACTTAATTAAAGTTTATTATTTTGATTCAAGTATTATTGATTTGTACATATAAATAATATACAAATGGTTTGAACACAAGTAGCAAATTACGAGGTTCTCACCATAAATGGCTACAACTGTCAATGTCTATAGAAAAAAACTTTGATATACAAACATGTTTGTTTTAAACATACATTCTTTACATGATAAATATATAACTATCTAGAGTTTTAGTGTTAGGTGCAATAATTAATCGAATCTACCAGAATCTCTTATAAATTTATGTACAGATTGAAAAATATAATTATTGATTTCAACATTTTGTGACTCGTCTCCCCACAGATGTACGTGACAATCAATAACATTTAGTTTAATATTTGGTTTAGTAAGATATAAAAGGTTTCTAAATAGTTCCTCCCATGTTGATACTTATTACAAACAAAGAAGAAATGATATTGGTCGTCTGATCTTCTGTACCACATGAACAATTAGGACCCTCAATAATGTTTCATTTATAAAGATCATAATTTATAATACAGTTGTGCCGTAGTTTAGTTTGTATGATGTTAAGTTGTCTGTTACCATGACAGAATGGAGGCGGGGGTCTGCTGGTTTTTTATGTATTATACTGTTTTTAAAACTACTAAAAGTTTAACTGTTTCCTGTGGTGATACATAAACTGTTCCATTGGTTTACTGTATCAGGAACAAAAGATTTCTTAAATACTTCAAGTCTGCATCTAGGAATAGTGTAGTCTTCTTGATCACGTGTGTTGTAATTTGATTCAACACTCCTTATTGAAGGAAAAATACTTTTTAAATATTCATGTGCCAAACTGTGATGTACTTTAAACATAGTATTTATTTTTGCTACTTTACGTCTTTCCGCAAGAGGTTCCCATCCTGTTTCTAAATATAACGAATCTCTTGAAGTTATAATGGGTAACCCTGTAATTATTCTCGCAGCATAAAGCTGCACCTTTTCCAATTTTTCAACATCTTGTAGAGAACATCCATCCCAAACTATAGAACAGTATTCGAGTAGTGGTCTGATAAAAGCAATACACATTTTAGATAGTGTATTTCTACCAATATTGTATTTTAGCTTTTTAGGAGACCTAATCTTTGGTAAGCCTGTTTAACTACATGTATATTGTTTATACGATATGTTCAGACTAGTTGAGATCTTGGCTTAATAGTAGTCCTAGCTATAGATGTTTATGAGAGGTAATATATTCTAATCTACATCGTTGAAATTGTAGTTTGGGAAGATAATAATTAGATCTTGAAGTAAAAAATAATGCTTTTTTTGGATTGGTTGAATTTCATAAGCCATTTGGATGACCACCTATCAAGTATTTCTAAATCGTGATTCAGGTTATATTCAATATTTGCAACATTATATGAAGAACATTGCAACGAGTTATCATCTGCAAACAATCTACACAATGAAATCATGTTTTCTGACACATCATTAACATAAATCAAAAAAAGAGGCCCAGGGGCCACATCGCTCACCTGAGCACTATGGCTAGGAAAAAGCAGAAATCAGTTCAGTCTTATAAGATTGAAAAGTTTACATATAAAAGTGGTGGTGAGGGGGGGGGGGGGGGCATGAATTGAACAAATTTGAATCTACATTACCTGAGGATACTTCCATTTCAATATGACCAATCATGGCTTTGCTGTTCTTGAGTAGAAGATTTTGAAAGATTTTTCCTATGTATTCCTAAGTAAAACGATGATCACCCATTGTGGCCCCACCCTACCCCCAGGGGTCATGATTTGAACAAACTTGAATCTACACTATCTAAGAATGCTTCCATGTAAATATGACCAATCATGACTTTGCTGTTCTTAAAAAATAGTTTTTTAAAGATTTTTACTATGTATTCCTATGTAAAAATTTGATCGCCCATTGTGGCCCCACCCGACCCCCGGGGGTCACGATTTGAACAAACTTGAATCTACACTACCTGAGGATGCTACCATATAAATATGACAAATCATGGCTTTGCTGTTCCTGAGAAGAAGATTTTTAAAGATTTTTCCTATATACTCCTATGTAAAATTTTGATCACCCATTGTGGCCCCACCCGACCCCCCGGGGGTCATGATTTGAATAAACTTGAATCTACACTACCTGAGGATGCTTCCACATAAGTTTCATATTTTCAAGCACGGTGGTTCTTGAGAAGAAGATTTTTTAATGATGCCATTAATTTTTCACGAATTCATAATTATCTCCCCTTGGAAGAAGGCATGGCCCTTCATTTGAACAAAATTGAATCCCCTTTACCCAAGGATACTTTGTGACAAGTTTGGTTGAAATTAGCCCAGTGGTTCTGGAGAAGAAGTGGAAAATGTGAAAAGTTTACAGACAGACGGACTACAGACAAAATGTGATCAGAAAAGCTCACTTGAGCCTTCGGCTCAGGTGAGCTAAAAAGTAAAGGACCAAGAACTGACCCTTGTGGTACACCAGCATGCATGAATGTTTCTACTAGTCGAAAAATATTTTTATACGTAATTTTCTGCCTTCTTTTACATAAGTAACTCTCAAGCCAGGTAAGAATATTTCCACATAAACCGCATGTCTTTAATTTAAAAAGTAAACCTTTATGCCACACTCTTTCGAACGCTTTGGACAGATCACAAAATACCATGCAACAAAATATTCCTTCAAATATTATTAGAATGTTCATTTTACCATATTTCAAATCTTATTTCATTTTTAATTTTAACTTTTGTATAATTTTGAGGGGAAAAATTATTTTCTATAATGTTGTTATATGATGCATGTACAAGAGGTAAAAATAGTAACAGTATAAACAAGTATATTTATCACGAAACTTTAATGAAAAATTATGTTCATTGTCTGTAGGTTATAAATACATGTCCTATGTAATGTATTAAAAGTTTTAATACTGAATGTCCCAAGGCCAGAAATTATTTCGTAGATATTCCAATTATGGTCATAAATTGCCTCAAATAGACTTGAAATAACATAATTAAGTTCATATTGTCAGATTTTATCATACAGGGACTTAACTATCAATGAGTACAGTACATGTCTAGTCTGTCAAAGATTGCTAATTAGTAAAATACACTTGTGTGGAGTAGAAGGGAGGAAAATATATTGAATAAGATTGAATTACATGCATAACTGCCTTGGAGAAAATTAGTCATTACAAATAATATGTGAGAGATAAAAACACCATTTTCTTACTGACTCCCATTTAGTTTAAGTTTTGAATTGTTCTTCCATGTTTAAAAATAAATCAGAATATAGATATATTTTCATAATTTCATAAATTGTTGTTCTAACTAAATATACAGGTATGCATACTTCCCAACGACCCCATTTGATGGTGAACAAACGCATAAACTTTGTTCTTTGATGGACACCATGAAAATACATGTCAAATACAGTTTATAAGTAAATGTCGTTTAAATGTACAAGGAAGCCATTTCTGCCAAACTGGCTCATCAAAGTGTCAGGAAGACGAAAAATCGCCACACACATCAAATTCCTATTTCTACGAAGACCGACTGTAAGCAGTCATTATTCTGTTGTAAACGGTAACATATAAATTTATTTAGCTGTCGATACACAACTATTACTGGGTATGACAACATCGACGGAGTAATGTTTCATCATAGGGTGTACTTGATAAGTCTGATGTGTACCTCTAAAAAACAAGGTGATGACGAATAATAGCTGCAGGGTCAGCACATCGGTCACATATGACAGGAGCTTTTAAGGGGTTATACTAAAGGCATGTTGTTTATATTTTAGGAATCCAAGTAAAATTGTGATAGCGGCTATATCCCAATCATTATTATAAATATATACTCAGTTTAGTTCCACCTACCGAGGAAATTCTTTTCATCAAGAACAAGTTTTACTTTTTAAGTGTCTTTCTTTAGGAAAATATCTGTTAAAATATATATAGAAATTCTATAGGAATATTTCATACCTTTGTTTCTTGATGCCACTAGACTGAATATTCACCTTTTTATCTAGATATGCCATACACTGTGTCATGTGATTATTTCTAGTTTTGCTGATTTTTTTTTAAACTCTTGTAAACATGTAATAGTCTTGATAGTTATGGTTTTAAAAGAATCCTGTTTCTTGATATTTTTAATAATTTAAAAAGCACACTATATAAACATTGTTTTATATTTTAATTCATTTTTTGTATCATAAAAAATAAAATCACATGGCATGTAAAACAAGCATAAATAAATAATATAAAAACGAAAACAAAATATAAAAACTGATATATGAGTTACATGAAATAAAGGTGAAGCAAGCACAAAAATATATACATGGGTATTGGATTTCTTAAATGAATACACAATTAAAGAAAATTAGTTCAAGGAATTGAATCTCATACAGTGAGGCAAAACATCGGGACACATCAGGCATCTTTGTCCATTATAAGAAGCAGTTCCTTGTTCGTAACACCTAGATGGTAATCCTTGAGGAATAGGTCTACACGAGGAACGAAGATTTTCACAAATCTGAAGCTGCTGTTCCTGTGGACATGCAGGATCAATCTCTGGACATCCGGGACATTGCTGACCGTTCATGCCTTGAATAACCCCATTTCTAATACAAGACTCAGGAACATTTCTTAAACGTGGATTTTCAGGACACATAAGCGCTGGACAGAGACGTGGGTTGAATGGTCTGTTTGGTGCAGGTGGAGCTGGTGTAGCGGGTGATAGTTGTGGTCGCCTTGGTGCTGGTGGACATCCAGGAACGGCAAGTCTCTCTGGACATTGTGTTGAGCACTGTTGTCCCACATTCTCGGACCCTCGCCTTAAACAGCGATAGGGCACTCCTTTTACTTCTGGACACTCGATTCCTGGACACATGTTGTAAGTTTCCTCTATACATCCAG